ATCGAAAGAGGCTACTCCGGCTATTCGTGACCATCATCGCCGGTTGATCTCCTGAAATTATACCTCGTGGAAATAAATTATTCCGGTGGATGCAGGAACGATCTCGAAATCGCCCATCAATTTTTCAATTCGAAATGTTTTAATTTCCATTAGGTACGCGCATGATGTTTGCTCTTACGAAGTTATGGTTCGAACCAGCTTTCGTGGGCTTTTTATGATGATTGTATCAGCTTAAAATTCTATACGGGCACATTAATTTAAATGACAATCGATAAAAGGCTAATGTTCAGGTGTATTTTCACGGTTGATTTGCTATTTTATTGCGAGCTATTACTACACACGTAAGTTGAGGTTTCGAGCAATTAATGACTCTGTAGGTTGTACAACCATTCATAAAAAAACTTTATATTTGTTTAAAAGGAAACCGGTTATTTTACGTTTGCGTATTTCATTTTTTCGAATTAGCATCCGTTGAAATAACGAATATTTTTATCAGTTTGCGTTTGTTGGAATCATTGGCAATGTTAGGTCAACTTGTTTAGCAGCCAGTCTGAAGTACCAAGTATCCAAAATAATCATTGAAATATCAAACATAATTACTTATTAGGTACTGTTTCAACTTGATTAATTCATGAGATATGTCAGAGACTAAATTGGTATTTCTGAGGGCTTAGCTCTCCAAGCCATCTTTCTACTTCGCCCATGCTAGGAATGTTTCATAACGGTCTCTTCAAATAGCAAAAGCGGTTGTATATGTATTAATTAGTTGTGCTCTAGACTCAATTATTAGTTATTTAGGGTGATATTATTACTTCATTTTCGATTCATTCATTACCTACTATTGTAAATTACATATTATTAATTTATCCAACATCCTCCAATTTGCATTTTAATACAAATGGTCTTAACTGTAAGACAAATCTGTAACAATCGCTTCATGTAACCTTTAATGGTCGTTTAAATCATTCGACTAACGTCACCCATGGTCGGGTTTTAATTGAAAGCCGTTTACCGGTGCATCGTTTCAGGATTCTTTGTTCCAGTTTTACTTAACAAACAGTGAAGATTGAACAAAGACCAGTTAGCCGTTTTACAATGAACAGAAATATCGTTTTGTTTTAGTTTTTGTTGCAGGTTCTTCTGCTGCGTTCTTGTAAGACAATTAAGGTATTCTCAAAACATACCATCAGTTATTCCAAAGTGCATTATAATGCCACTCTTTCGAGCTACTGATGCCACTTTACTTCGTTGCTTCTTCTATTTAGTTTCTGTACTATAGGAACATACTGTACCTACTCATTCGTTTGATTTAATTGCATTTATAATTAACGAAACAAGTAAAAATATTATAACATTCCAGTTCAGAAAAAATCTTATTAAAACTTAAATCGATTGGTGGAACAATTACCGTGTGCTAACGACAGTGTAAGTATCATCTGGCTAATTATCTGTGACTTATACACGAACTGCAAGAAATGTTGTGGGAACTAAAGAGCAGATCTGAAAAAACAAGCACGACAAAGACCATAGGCGATAACAAAGACTAAAATAAAAGAAACAATGCAATATATTACTATAGAATTATTCATAAAACAGAAAGTGTTAATATTCCAGAAATGTAATTAAATCAATCAAATTAAACAGTAGGTAATGCGGAAGCTAAATTATTTAACGCGGAAGTTACGCAAAATAATTTACCTGTATCTGGTAGTAAAATCAAGATATCACAATGACTGAAATAAAAATTTTTCGTCCAATCATTTAATAATAGAAACGATCGTCTTAATAGTATCTTCTTGTCCGAACAGTCGTGACATCATGAATACTGATTGGTTGAATGTCTCCCATCCAATCTGTCTCTTTGAAATTTGCTTGCTGTAATTGCAATGTAATTGTTCTGTAATTCATAGAATTCGAATTTACTTCCTGCGTACAACTTCTAACACTTTTTACTAAACAGATAATCTATATTGAATGTGCCAATTGAGGTTGTGTACACATCTACAAATCAATTTTATGAACAAAATTTAGGCTATTTGTTCAATTTAATACCTGTTGGGTACGTTTCTACGCGTATAAATCCACGATTTTTTTTCAGATAAACCGTAATCGTTAAACAAGTAAATCCGGTACAAATGTTTTCGTTGGCTAAGCAGATATTCAGTTATTTAAATTCGTTGGATTTAAGTACTGCGCAAGAGGAAATAGAAGCGGTAGCAATTTAATTTCTCGAGAAGAGCGCGAGCAGGCTGCTCTCGAGCCTAACTGTAAAAGAGGAATTTCTGAAAAGACTTGCATGATTTATTTTATGTAATGATCGCAGGATGATAACAGTGAAAATCGCTTGTAGTCGAAACGAGTTTTATTTTGTTGCATTATCGCAAAAATCCGCGCTCAGTACTTGGAACTAAAGGTATAGGCGCTGCGTATAAGTACCACGTCTTCGGCGGATTACTTTTTGATTTCTAATAACAGAATCGAATCGCGTATCTCGTATTTTCACGCCGACATTTAGATAGATACCAATCTCCCTGCGCTCTATAGTTATAATTACGCTCCGAGACGTTGGAGATGTTTTATCGAAGATCTTCAAAAATATTTTATTTCTGCTGTCGACGAATGGCGATCCAGCTCTTAAACGAAGTAACACCCAGATCATCAGATTTTTATTCTTGGGGCATTGTTACTTGCTCGGATTCTTCGTAATACAGGGTGTTTCGTTACTACAGATACAAAACTTTGACTCTACGAAGGCCCCAAATAATTCATTACACCCTTCAAGGCTTTGGTATCTAAGTACCTAATTAATCTAAATAACCATTAAAAGAGATCCTAAATAATATACAACAATTTTTCGTATACAATTATTAAAAGTAAGGATACATTTGCGAATAAAACACCCTGTATAGTGCATTAAAAACGCCTCGAAATAAACTATAAATTATTGAGACAATCTCACGGGCGAAATATTTATTATTGATGCTTATTTCAATCCTCAGCTGCAGGTAATAAAAGTTTTATTCGTATCTCCGGCGATATTGGACGTTAAATCGAAGAATATTATGCGCTAAAACATATGGTCAATCTTACATAACATTCCGAACTACAATGTATGTTTCGTAAGAACCCGCATGGCGAATAAGACGAGATATATGGCCACATGTAACGTAAACCTCCATGTATATTCGCTATGGGGTATCGGAATGTTTCTCGTACATTAACTAAAGCAGCTTTTCTCATTTATTAGACTTTGGTTAGCAGAAGATTACACGATCATGTGGATGTTTATTGATTGTGTAAAAATGAATTTTATTTCTATGGCTAGTTTAACCTGCGATTTGTTTCAGAATATCGACGGTTTGAAAATGCTGCGGACTGACCACTAACAAATTTAAGGTACGTAAATATTTTTTTATTACCATGCTAATTAAATTTCCGCATTTTTTATTTATGATGATTGAAATATCCATACAGCATTGAATAAAATACATACATACCTACTCGCTAAAGAAAAAAAATGTCGCAATCGTTTGTGTTTACCAAGGATAACAACTGTTACTTTCTGTCATATCTATATCTGTAAAATTTACAGCGACTGTTTACACGCTTTAATAGGTTCCAAGATTAAAAAGTGTTCGAGGAACAATTAAGTTTGAATTAACATAATTTTATTGAATTTTCCATCAGGGGGAATTCTAGGTTTTGGCTAGTTTACAGGAATCTATTGAATTTATTGAATTGTTGATTTAAAAATTAATCAGATTCATGACATATTATATCTAGTAGGTAATTACTTATACTTGTATGTATCTATTTATTCTACAAACATTAATAACAAATAGATACCTAATAAAATGTAATCTCAATCTCAAGAAACTAGTTCTACACATTTCTGATCATTTATTATGGGACCACTGTTAATAAATTACGAGACACCAGCGAAATCGAAAGTGGTCAGTCAAAAGTTTTACTTTGCGAACTATAGTCGTAGGTATTGGCCTTATTTTAGCGAATTTACGGCAAACAACTTTCGTTTTTTAATCGTAATACGCATATGGATGTTATGCAATATGAAATTTGCAAGATAATACTTACTTAACACCGATTATTACGTTTAACGTGACACGTATATTTCGAAGTTATTGGACGTTCAAGGTTTTTTTATGGTTAACTAAATAAGTATTATTTATTTCTTTATTTGCATTGGTGCATACAAATAGTGCAATAAAATATTTAAGTAGATTTTAGAAATTCCAATGTGCATTGAAGCATGTGGGAGGGAATTAAAAAAATATGTAAAAAGTATGCATATATTATGTTTTGTACCAATTACAATAATTAATTGTCTCCTTATTTTTAATGATACTTTTTATTACAATTCCATTACATATGACAAACCAGTTAAATTTATTAAGGAAGCGAACATATGGAAATGGAACAAGTGTTACTTTCTAAAATGAATTAAAAATACAGAAAAAAATGCTCTAAAAAACTAAGTATATGAAAGAGTACCTGATATTTTTATGCTACATTTAATTACCAACGAAGCGAATCGTAATCCAGAAAGTATTCAACTATTTTATTGTTTCAGAAACGATCGTTTTAAATAAATATGAGAACTTTTATATTTTTCAAACAATTAGAAAAACCGTTAGTTCATTTTCATTATCCTGTGTATTAAAACACGAGAAGAACTAGATAACGAAAATGGCTCAACCGAAACACGACACTGAGGTTACCGTTTTAACATGCTTTTTGTACGGAGAATATACGTGTAATTAACGTGGTAAAATTAACTTTGTCATTGCACGCATAAACTAGTTTCTTCTATTTTCAATTACTGTCATTATTCAATAAGCTTGTGAAAACCCTATCAAAATCATTAAAAAAACAGAAAAACAGAAGGAATAGAACCAAAATTTTCCTAAAAAACCTGAATAAAGCTGTAATTCACCACACCTGGTAACATTACACCAAATGAAAAAATTTTCGATTTCTAGATGTATTGCTATATCACAAAATGCTGTTGCATTTGGTTGATGATCTCATTGGCATCGGGGCAATCGAATTATGCAGATCAAGCCAACAACATAGAGTACCAAGGGGATGGTTTGCCCGAACAAGGAATCCTGGATGGCAAAGTTACCAAACTAGACGACCTAAGTCCAGTGATATTTTTAAATAGGTAAGTAGGCCGCAGCACTCGAAAAGATTGTTATCGAGGCTAAAAATATTTCGATACACCTTTTATAGCAGTGTACACATAGTTAGGTACGATTCAACGAAATCTTCACGGTATAATCCACTCGATAACAATTCGTTTAAGCATGTGTTGAGCCTCACGATTAAACAATAAATCCGTGCCATCTATCACTCTGGGAGTTCGAGAAAGAATCCCTAATAGGTGTATAATCAAGTGAAACTAACTGTCTTTATTTTTGATTTCTTAAACGTGATGTTGTTATGTTGGCCTCCATTCAATAATCCTCCAGCTTCGGCTTATCTTTAGAAGCATCGCCGCGCTTTTTCTTTCGAAGTTATTTATTATTTTAGCTTTAATTACACCTTTGATTTTCTGTTAACAGAACGAAGGCTGCTTTAAATTGCGCGGCGGGATCCATGCAAATAGAGCTCAAGTTCAACGACAAGTTTTATGGGATAGCGTATGCTCAATTCGACAGGAACTCTGCCTGCAGAGTCTATGGAAAGGGAGAATACAGCTACAAATTGGAATTGCCATTAAAGGGTTGTGGAACTAAACAAGTAAGTTTATAATAGATAAGTGTATGAAAAAAATGGTTAGAATTGATTGGGATTTACCTCCCTAACTGGACGATTGTAATAAATTTTTGTTTCTAAATTTTTAGAATCCACAGCGAGTATTTACCAACAACATTATCGTTAGATTCCACCCAGGATTAGAAATTGACGGTGATGAAATTATAACGATTGTTTGCAGATACCCACCGCCGATTGTTCCACCACCGGCACCATTACCTAGGATTGTGTAAGTATTATGCCCGGTTATTTAATTATACACTTTGCTACATTTATTTTAATTAATGCCATTAGGTACTAAATTGGGTAATTATTAGATACGTATCTGCACTGTTTGCTTTTGTATTTCAATGGATTCATTCGATCTAATTTAAATCGTAATATGAAATTAGATATTTATGAATACTACAAAAATTTCACCTGAGAAATTAATCGCCATGCGAAAATAGTAATTAATTGTTAATTGTTCGTTTAGTTTTTATTTCTTTGTTGCGTAAAAAATAATTGCTTGGAAATGACTTAGGTATTAATTACTTTTTCAAATTAAAGTTTCACCTTATTAACCTGTTTTATTGCACTGATATTGCCGAATTGCATAAGAGTTTTGGATTCATAGAATCTGCCAAAAAATAAGATTCAACTAAACTACTATTTAATTACAGATATTTATTCTGGATTGTTTCTGAAAGTAAAATTATGGGTAATAAGTTGTTACGTGTTTAAATTATGCTTACTTATGCTCATTATTGCGTGTCAACACTGTCCTACAATCATGATAATGCCGTAATAGTCCCTAATTTTGATCACTAATTACATATCGTGCAATGAAAATAACTATACAAGCGAGAGTTTAACCCATATATCCAATTTGAACAGTTATTACTCTAGCACTGCATGTGCACTTGAATATTTTAATTTTTTCTTTCAGTCCAGAAGCACCAGTAGCAGCCGTAACTGCGCCCCTCAAGGGATTCCAAATTCTTCTGATCATTTGCGGTATTCTGTTTCTGTCCCTGCTGTTGCTCGGTCTAGGATGTTCCTATTACTGCTTGAGGAGAAGAAGACCTGTTACAATATTCAGGCAACCGTTCTCGTCCGTGGGAACTGGTTCAGAAATTACGAAATTATCGGGTAGTTCGCTGGGTAAGTAAATCATCTAATGATTAATTTTTGCAAACTTTCATTTTACATAATAATCTTGCGAGGTATTTAGTTAAATACATTTATCATTTTGCATTAGACGACTATAACTCGAAAATTTAATGTTTTATATTCATTTTATACTCAGAAACATAACTGATCGTCAAACAATTTAAGAAGATATTAATGTTTCTTAATTTAAAACTAATAATAATTTCTGTCAATGCTTTGTACTGATGTATATGCTGATGTAAAAAGGCAGTAAACGATATAAATTAACTAAAATAATAATAAAATTAAATTAATTTAACATCGAACATTTCATTTTGTATTTTCCTCTTAACTGCGTTCCGCACTGTACAAATTTATTAATTAAAAAGGACATTTTATAATCTATTAACCAGTATTTATACGACTCGTCCTTCAGTGTGAGTCAATCGGAACGAGATTTTGAAAAGGATGAGCAATTATTATCGACGTCAATTCAATGCAAATTGATCAATATTTAACTAAGTACTTCAGCATCGCTTTATTTTCGCAAATGTAGCTTTTATAATGCCGCTATTACTGTTATTCTCTTTCCTTGTAATTATCCTTCACAGCATCTTTTTTAATAATTTTATGCACTTCCTTTCAATCTTCTTATTTATTCTAAAGAGTTATTTAATAATGAATTAGCTCTACAATCTCACCTTCTCTTCATTGGCGAAGTTAGATTACCAAGATATAAAAAATTACCAGAATACTCATGAAAAATGCAAATTATTAATATGGTAAATGTTAGATAATACTCCATAATATAATAAACACTACAGTATTTTAGTTGTTAAAAAATTCAAAGTAATTTTTAAATTTTCAAAAATAGCCAATACACACCAAATGTGTATATGTTTATGATAATTTTTTGTGGTGTTACTTTGGTATATACTCCCCCAAGACAGCCTCTAACTTCGCCCACGCTTCTCTTTACCAATTGGCAATGCTTATAAATCCTCGCAGCATTATTCAAGACAGTACCAGTACTAGCACACTTTGGAATTTCAGGTAATCTTTCAATGTTCGAAGGCTTAAAAATACCCCGAGCGAACGTTCCTCCCCTGATGGCGGCCGGCAGTACGGCCAGCGAAGGCCCCCTAATGAGCGATAACCTCCCTTCAGATTACCCTTCAGAATCTCATTCCGAAATCGACGTAGACACTGGGTCGCTGCCCGTGTCGTCGGCGGGCTCCTATGAAAATCAAGCTTATGTTCAAGATACCTCGAGCATCTACAGCGAGGGCTACGGGCACACGCAGGAGCAACAGATACAGAACGCTGTGGCTAGCCCGACGATGGTGCCCAGGCTGCCTCTTGCCGTTAAAGAGCAGCCCAAGTTCGACGTGCAGGTTAAGGTTAAAAAGAGCCCCCCGCCGCCTCCCAGTATTTCCCTGTCAGACTCTGAGAGCACCATGACCGATAGGAATCTGAGTACTATCATGGAACAGCAGGAGAGCATCAGGTTTGTGAGAAGGTTAATTTTTACGCAGGATCTTCAATTAATAAATTTTCTAACCTTCACCTAGTAGATTAAAATATTATTAAAATCCATTTTTCATCCAACTAATTTTTGGTTGCGTTCGATTGAGTTTTGTAGTAGTGGAAGGTTAAAAAATTTCTTTGGAAAGCACCATAAAAATTGTATAAATTTGTAGATCTTTGGACTCACCTCCTGTTAACGAACGAACGCATTTCACTTACGTACCGGAATTACATGCCCCACCAAAGCATATTCAACCCGCCCCCACATATAATAAAATTCTTCGAAGGCAAATGGAAATGCAGGAGGAAAGGTAACATTGAATTTCAAAAACATTTTATTGGTGTAAAGATACTGGATAAAATGAAAATGATTGTTTCAAAATCGATTGAGAGATACTTCAAGAAATATATTTTTGCCCTGTTTTCATAGAAAACAGGAAGCTTTAATTTATTTATTTGGCTTCTAATTTAACTTTGTTGATTTGAGGTAAAAGAATTTTAGTTACTTAGAGTCCATGTAGGTGCACATACAAATTAATCCTCAACAATTATTCTATCAATTACACTATCTAACAAATCAATAATGAACATTCATCATTCATTTATCAGTTTATTTTTTATAATATTTATCAACAAAATAATCAGTCATCCACTGAATTGATATGAGCAATTATAATTACAATAACAACCTATATACTTGATAACTAGAGAAACTGGTGACATAATAAATCCACCAAAAATTAATTACAATTGCATAAATTAGGGTTATTTTAAATAGGTTAGTAGCCCCGACTCCACCGCCACCACCTCCGATCATACCGAAACGCGAACACATCGTAGAAGATATACCAGACTCCTACGAACCACCGATAGCTGCTTACCACAAGCCCGAAGTCACTTCACACGTTGTCGACGACGTATTTTTGAAAACGATAACCGAAAAGAAGACCATCGAGGACATCGAGAGACACAAGCGATTGGTCACCGAATACCACACCAGATCGAAACCAGTCGAGGATCAAAAATGGGACGTCACCATTAGGTAATTTGTCTTGTGCTTTGTTCTAACTAATCAACCAGCTCTTGTGTTGTGCTCTTGTGTTGTGAATCTTGATTGTTTCAATCACAGAGTTGCGATCAATTAACTAGTATGCTCATAAGCATCGTGACTATTACAGAAATTACCCGGTGGAAATGCCAGAGCCTCCAGACTGGGAGAATTTCTCCGACATATCATCAGCATCCGGACTGACCCTAACGCCCAAATTAGAAAGGTCTTCTCTCAGTCTGCCTCCTCAGAACATCATCGTAGATGATAAATTACCGCTGAATGCGCCTGAAATCGTGGCCAATTTAGGCCAATCTCCACAACCTATAACTAGGTAAATATAAGTCATTTTAACCAACTTTTTTGAAACAAACAAATTTCTGTAGTAGATACACATCCGCCATGGAAATGCAATCGCAAGAGGAGACGTACCTTTCGATGTTCAACGTCCCCCCGCAGAACCCCGAGGTTCCCAACTGGAACGTCCTCATTAGGGTATTCCAGCCCACAGAAAACGAAGAGGGACCGGTTATAGAAAGCGCCGAAACATTTAACTCCCAACTAACTACAGCTGATAAGATAAAATGGCGGCAAATAATCACCACAGAATCCACACTGCGCACACTACTCACCGAATGCGTCGTCAGGGAGGATTACGAGAAAATACGAAGCGATCCCAAATTCACCAATTTGTTCGAACCGCCCAAATGGGACGTTATTATACGAATCCTGGCACCGCCAGATAAGCCTAAAAGAAAATGGGACAACAGGTGAGTTCTCGAAGTTAATCTCAGGCGCAATTTAATTAACTAATCATTAGGAGCCGAAGGAGCAGCTTGCCTACTCTATACGAATACGAATCCGACGGGGAGAGTTCCGTTCGCACTCTCACCCGAGAACCGCTAGTACTTCCGCAACGTTCCAGGAAGAACTCGAGGTCGAGCTACAGAAGCGAAGCTGATTTGAGGTCTATGTCGGAGGTCATTGTAGATTTTGGTAAGTAAAAACCAAGTGGATGAATCGGGTGAATTAATACGAATATTCTATCGTAGGACGACAGGATAATTATTCGGAAACCTCGAGTTACTATCCAGAAAAACGGTACTACGAAGACTCCGAAACCGGCCATCCTTCTCTAGCAAGATCCCTGAGCCAGCCGAGCTTGGCCAGATCGGCCAGCGAGTTTACTGAACGATGGGTGGCTCCATCCAGATACGACACCGCCAGCGAGTTTACATCACCAGAAGGTAAACATAACCATAGGCCAAACATTGGTAGATCACCCTAATTTGCGTTTGATGTAGGCACGCCGAAATCGCAGCGCAGCTCGAGATTCCAGCAGCAACAGCAGCAGCAGCTGCAGCGCAGCAGCGAGCAGCGGGCGGTGTGGCAGGCCAGCCAGGCGAGCGGCGGCGCGGCGCCGCGTGGGGGCGGCCAAATGGTGATCCAAGAGTACAGAAGCGAAGCGTCCGCCAGCTATTCGGGGAGGGCGGCCAGGCCGCCCAAGGGGTGGTTCGGGGACAACGACAGCGAAGCTAGCTACAAGTAATTGCCGTCGCTTCGACTGGAAGCGGATGGTCCAGTAATATCTTATGAAGAGGTCTCCGAATGCTCAATATTTATTGTGAATAAAGCTCTTCTTCGTACCGGCGGAAGATAAGTTCAAGGCGTAATGTGCTTGCAGAATGAATCGCCGAATTAGTTAAAAATTAATGGATTTTATAAATTTGTTTTGTAAGCTTTTTAACGATTTGAATTAATTAGGTGGAATTGCCATGTTTGATTTACTGCCATTTGAATCTGGATGTATACAGATTTTATACTAAATCAATTAATGTAATTTGATCCTAATAATAAAGTACCGACATTCCTTTTTAAAGCGCTAATAGCTACTTGTAAGGCTAATTTTAGTTCCTGCCGAAAGGATCTAAAAAGTAAATTCCTTTATTAATAGTAACTAGCTGTGATAACAATGTAAGGTTTTTTTGGTTCGATTATTTTAACTATAGAAGGGTTTTACCTGGTTTTTCACTTTTCCAAAATGTTCTTGGATAACTGCAGAACTAGGTATTATACAGTGTGTTCCTAATTATACCGTTACCAACAATCAAATATTTAAAAATTTATCGACTTAATTCTTAAAATGAAAACCACAATTAATTTACCATTTATTATCATTCATTAATCATTAGGTGCACACTGTTTTTTATAATTTCGTCTTCTAATTTTCCATATTGTAATTGGAAAATTTCTTGTATCTCTTGACTTTTATCGGTGACGGATTTTTGGGAGCCTATTTTTTTCGCGTTTTACTAAAAACAAATCTGCTCTGTATCTTTTTTATCGAAGTATCTCTCGATAATTGTATAATACTCTTACGGTGCTATTTAATTAATTTTATGTAATCTATAAAGAGACAATAAGCTTTTGATAAAACATTAATTAATTACATTTTTTTAATAAAGTCTTAAAATTTGTACCTTGTGGTTTTTTTTTATTCCCACCAATTAATAACATTATATTTTAATACAAATTTATGATATTGTAATGCGTGATTTTAATGCATAAATTTTTAAATTTATTACCCAACTTTCTTTATTCTAACCTGGAAAAATTGAAACACCTATTTACTTTATTTAAATGTTTTTTTTATTCTCAAAGAAATTGAAGTAATTAATAACATAATTAAACACTCCAAGGATTATTAAATAAGAAGAAAAAAACTAGTTGCAAGCAGTCCGTTGAAAATTAGACAGCATGATGTGTTTAATTGCTATGTAAAATTTTATTTAACGGTGCAAAATCAGTGATCGTTTCCAATGTATTCCTTATTATTAATCAGAGCACCATCGAAAGCATAACGTTAGTTTTCAGTTCGTTTCAGCAGTTCTTTGTGAATTCATCGCCAGCATTTAATTTAACTTAAAAAACCGTACAAAAGTAAGTCGATCAACTGTTAATAAATAGTTTGATTTGCAAATTCGCCAGTTCTATATTTTTGTATAAATTAGGATATTTTGTCAGGGGTCGTTGATTTCAATTGAACTGTTTATTATCAGGGAATAACATTAGTTTTAGTATTATTTTGTGTGTTGTTAAATGGGCATTTTTCTATTAGATTTTACGGCATTTAGACATAAAAAACATTTTTAGAAAAGTTTATTTTCTAGTCCTATTTTGACAAACCCTTACGAAGCTGACTGAACTTATTGTCTACTGAGAAGAGAGAAAAGAAAAATAATTTTCAAAATTAAACAGAAAAATTGTGCAGGAAAAAATACGAAATATACAAAGTAAAATATTTTGAAACATTGATGGGTCGTGAAGGTGTACCTAATTTTTATAAAGCTGATGATTTTATGCTTGTTTAACAGTTTTTTTAAGGAGTTTTTGAAGATTTTTATTTTGATTTTCTAAAATCGCACTAGCACGCACCTGCCTATCACTTATATGGATAACTACCTTAATATTAACCGAACTACTAATTATTAATATTCCGTTACTTTGTTAATTAAAGTTAATCTATAATTCCGTTCAAATAAAGTAAATACTTACATGAAGAAAAGTCTATAAAAGCATCTAGAAATAGCACAATTTACTGAAGAGTTGCATTAAAATTTTACAGCTAAACCATGTGTCAAGACGATGTTTCCGCCCTAGTCGTCGACAATGGATCAGGAATGTGTAAAGCAGGATTCGCAGGAGACGATGCTCCGAGAGCAGTGTTTGCAAGTGTGGTAGGAAGACCTAGATACCAGGTAATCCATATTTCACAGCTGTTAATTGTTCCATTTTCAAGCAAAGAAAATTCTGCTCTTTCAGGGGGTCATGGTCGGCATGGGCCAGAAAGACTCCTACGTAGGCGACGAAGCTCAAAGCAAACGCGGCGTATTATCCGTCAGGTATCCCATCGAGCACGGAATCATCAGCAACTGGGACGACATGGAGAAGATTTGGCACCACACCTTCTACAACGAACTGAGAATTTCCCCGGACGATCACCCGATTCTTCTAACCGAAGCGCCTCTCAACCCCAAGATCAATCGAGAGAAAATGACGCAAATAATGTTCGAAACGTTCAATTGCCCGGCTATGTACGTAGCCATACAGGCCGTTTTGTCCCTCTACGCCAGCGGAAGAACCACGGGCATCGTTATGGATTCCGGAGATGGAGTCTCCCACACTGTCCCTATCTATGAAGGTCAGTTTCTCCGGAGCGAGTCTTCAGCAACATCAACCTAATGATCCATTTTTTTAGGCTACGCTCTGCCTCACGCTATTCTCCGAATGGACTTGGCCGGGCGGGATTTGACAGCTTATTTAATGAAGCTGCTAACGGAAAGAGGCTACAGCTTCACGACGTCCGCCGAAAGGGAAATTATAAGAGACCTCAAGGAGAAAATCTGCTACGTAGCTCTAGATTTTCAAAAGGATTTGGCGGTCGCCCAGACCACCTCGACCTTAGAGAAAACCTACGAATTGCCCGACGGCCAGCTGGTCACTCTTGGCAACGAGAGATTCAGGTGCCCCGAAGCTATCTTTCAACCATCATTATTAGGTATGTAATTAATACAATATAGAGTCTAAAATCATCGTAAACACTGTGGATTCTATTTTATTTAAAGGTATGGAGATACCGGGCATAGCAGAAACCACGTACCTCTCGATAATGAAGTCAGATATGGACATAAGAAAAGACCTCTACGCTAATACAGTGCTGTCCGGTGGGAGTACCATGTTTCCCGGCATCGCGGACCGGATCCAGAAAGAAATAGCCGCTTTAGCGCCGGCTTCGATGAAAATCAAGATCATAGCGCCGCCGGAAAGGAAGTACTCCGTGTGGATAGGCGGCAGCATTCTGGCCAGCTTGACCACGTTCCAGCAAATGTGGATTTCGCGGTCGGAATACGAGGAGGCCGGGCCTGTTATTGTGCATAGAAAATGTTTTTAAATACCTAGTAGTAGTAAGTAAGAATAAATTATAACGCAAGTAAATCGTGTACGGTAATATGTTAATTAATTAGAAATGGTATTACATGTCATTCATTCGTAGAAATTATTCAAATCGATTCTTTTCGTTTGATTAAAATTTATTGGAGTGTGTATTATCATGTAAAATGTATCATGTTAATGGGATGAAAAGTGTTATCCATGCGCTTCTTATGTGGTTTGATTCTGTTTGATAATGATTATATAGTTAATAGAAAAACACAAATTGAAAATGTTATCTGATTATATCTGATACAATAAATAAATATTGTAAAAAACAGTTTAATAAAGAAATATATTTTACACCCGAAACATTCTATGTTATTGTACAAGTTGATTCCTATTTGTTCCTAAAACGACGAGTTTGGAAAACATGTCTAAATTATTGTACATTTTTAGCCTAAAATTAATGAAAGAATCATCTCTTCATGCAGTTATCACCCTGTATAAGAATTTATCAGCATTTAATTTTATTTTGAAAGTGGCACTAGGTACTTGAACTGGAGAAAATGCGATGTGTTTTTCTACTTGATAATCAACGTTGTTCAGATAATGAAGCATTTAAATTGAGTGATACATTTAGCTGCCCCACAAGTATCGTACTTCTCCTTTGATCAGTACGTGGTCATATTTACTAAAAGAACCATGATAAGGTCAGTATGTAAATTAAATACTAATCAATTTGTGTCCAATTTGTGTTCAATTTGTACAGGTGATTTTAATAGTAAAAATTGTTGTACATATTGTAATGTATGTAAAGAGTAATTACAGTATGTAATTAATTATAAAAGTAGAGTATACTTATTAGTTCAGAAAATTATATTAATAAAAAGATTTTTAATGTTACATAGTTAATACTAAAATTCCCAAAGCATTTCATCTATTAGTTGTGATTGAATACTTTTTTGCAAGCTACTCTAGCTTTATTAGAAGAACTTAGCATATTGAACTTTACTGTACAGAAAATATGAAATAATCTAATAAAAAATATTCCTTTCAGGTTCTTCTTACTTTTGTCCGTTTTATCGGCTACAACAATCGCTATTGATAAAACAGTTTTTAAGAACTGTTCAAGAGTGGAGTTTTGCACGTAAGTTCAATTCAGATAAATATTTGTATTTGATTATCTGGCACATATTTTATATTTAGATTAATAGCAACCTAGTTATAGATAATGATAAAAGATATTGATAATAAATGTACTGAAAAATTATGCACTCATCAATAAATAGTGAATTTACATATGTATCCTTGAAGTAAGTTGCGGAAAGCTCTATGTAAAATGAAAAGCTGTATTTACTCAAAAACTTGAGTGAACAACGAAAGTTAATAAATCTAAAAATCTAGAAAATACACACTACTGTTCAAATGATATTCCTGTTATTCTTTCAGTAAATATCGTAACTTTGAGCCAAATGAAAAGGACAAGTATTCTGCTGATCTGAAATCCTTGACTATAGATGACAAAACGAACGTTGTAAAAGTTCCTCTTAAAAATGACAATGGCGATACGCTGAATTTACTTATAACTCTATTGGAAGGAAATAAAGTGAGAACTCAAATTCAAGAACCTTCGACGACCAGGTTCGATTTGAGCGACATTATTCTGGTAGAAGACCTCAAATCTCTACCGTAAGTATAATACAAATTAACCACTAGTTTCTTCTTCTCGAGAACTATTCTTACCTTACTTTTAGGGTTAAAAAATCTTCCATAGGTCCAAATAATGTATACATTCAACCTATAGACACCAGTAACAATCAACGCGTTTACATTGAAGCAGGACCTCCATTTGTTATTACCTTCACTAGCGACAAAGAAAAACGAGTGGTCTTAGATGGAAACAATTTCGTAATGGAACATGTAAGTTTTTCTATTAGAAGAGATCAGGATTACATAATAACCTACGAAAGTTCCTCCTGATTCCTCCATTTTCACTTTTAGACAAGCAAAAGTCAAGTTTTTACGTTCAAAGTAAGCTTTCCTCAAGCAGACAGGTTGTATGGCTTGCACGATCATGCGTATAAAATGAATCTGGGTACTACTAACAATGGCAGTGCTAACACCATGGACCCGTTTAGGTTCAGGAATTCCGATGCGTGGGGATATGAAGCCAATTCACCGATGGCTCTATATGGATCTCGACCAGTTGTAATAGGCTACAAGTAGGTATTTGGGTAGTAAAATAAGTAGTAAAGTAATTAATTAATTATGATATTTAGACCCGAAAAAACGTCTGCGATTTTTCTTCTAAACGCCGCAGAGCAATGGATTGATGTCGCGTCTGACATAGATAACCCATATGCGTATTTTATAGTAGAAAAAGGAGCTTTTGATTTGTTCACCTTATTAGGACCCACACCTAAAGATTTTGTACGACAGTTCACAGGTTTGACGGGCCGTGCTCATTTACCCCAAGTGAGTAAAACTCAATTCCACAAAGATTTCTCCATTAATCGTTTATAATTATTAATTCAGATCTGGGCTTTGGGTTACCACCAGTGCAGATTCTCATACAAATCCCAAGATGATGTCAAAACCGTAGTGGCTCTTATGGGCCAAAATGACTTTCCATTCGACGTTATTTACTTAGACGGTGATCACACCGACGACTACAGATGGTTCCATTGGAATCATACTACTTACACGGACCCCATAGAAATGTTTAACAACATTTCAGCTGCAGGCAGGCTAGCTGTATCCATCTCAGATCCGCACATTAAAGTTGAAGACACTTACGATGTGTACATAGGAGCTAAAGAAAAATACTTTACGAAATGGGCGAACGGTTCCAATTATGAAGGTGATATTTTAAATTCTTTTTTTTATAATTGTACCTACGTGAATATTTTGGGGTTACTCTAGCTGACTGTTGGCCTGGAAAATCGAGCTGGATTGATTACATGATTCCTGAGGCATCTGATTATTACGCAAGTTGGTACTCGTACAAAAAATTCAACGGAAGTACCCCGACATTAGCAGGAATTTGGAACGACATGAACGAGCCAGCAGTTTTCGATGAAACTATCGAAAAGACCATGCCTTGGGAGGTTCTGCATATGGGAAAAGTACCACACGGGGAGATTCACAACATCTACGGCTTCACTCATGTAACAAAATTATTACAATATTGTCAAACACTCGTTTTATTAATGTATTAAATTACAGGTTAGATCAACACACAAAGGTTTGATGGACAGAGACAATGGTTTGAAGCGACCGTTCATTCTGACTCGTTCCCATTTCGCCGGTTCTCAACGATACGCAGCCATGTGGACGGGTGACAATTCCGCCACCTGGGAGCATTTCGCTAACACCTACTCCGAATGCATGAACGCAAATATGATGGGAATGGTATTCTGCGGTGCTGATATCGGAGGTTTCATTGGTGATCCATCGGACGAACTACTACAAAGATGGTACCAGGTAAAACTAGAACTTCGTCTGTAGTAATTCACCTACAAGTGAATCTTAATGTAGGGAGCGATGTGGTTGCCTTTCTTCAGGGGCCATTCGAGTAGAGAGGCGAAAAGACGCGAGCCCTACTTATTCTCGAAAGAAGTACAAGCTGTGTTAAGGAAAGCCCTAAAAACCAGATACCAGCATATACCTTCATTCTACACCTTGTTCTTCGAGCACACGAGAACTGGTGATCCGATTATTCGACCACTCTACTACGATTATCCAGAGGTATACGATGCCGATACTCAAGTTTTAGTAGGTAAGATATTATTATAAATGCCCCTTTGTATTTTTCTCGGAAAATATCCTATACTTTCTGAAATTGTATGTTTTATTTTTTTGTTAATTTCAGGAACGGATATAATGGGTGTTGCTATTACCAAACCCGGTGTAAATCAAACGGAAGTAGTTTTGCCAGGAGCCAACCAATGGTGGTACCGAGCTGATCGTGAATTTATTGATCCACTTCTTGGTGATGGAAAGTTGACTATAGATGTTGACATTAATTCAGTAAGTATCATTTAGTACGGTTTAGCAGAAGTTGAAATGAAATTTCCTGATAGTTCAAGTTCCTAATTCATTGCAATTCCGCATCTGAATTTATTTTCAATTTTAGCATTTCATTAAACATTTTAAATTTGTTTCAGTCTCCATTCTTCTACCGAGCTGGAAGTATAATTTTCAGGAAGGATAGACCCCGAGACACAGCAGTAGCTGCAATAAACGATTCTTACACAGTCTACGTAAACTGTGACCAGGTAAGTTTAATTCTTCTATTCTACTCTACTTTTAAATAATAACAAAACCGATGATTTATTGTAGAGTCAAAATGCTGCAGGAAGACTATACATAGACGATTACTTTAGCTTCGACTACGCTAATAAGGATAACTATTTATACATTAATGCTACATACGACAACGTTGAAAAGACTTTAACTTTGGAGTAAGACTAGTATTTAAAAAATATATTAATATTATAAATTAATTTTAAAATTTTCAGATCAATTGATGGTGATAGCACTGGATTAGATGCAGTATTCGAACAAGTTGTTATAAACAAAGTTAACTTTACAGAAGGTATGTAATTGTATCAATATTTAAAACGTAAATCATCTCTACACATAATTAGAGAATAATAAATTATTTTGCCATTTTTTTCTAGGTGTTTACAAAACACAACAGGATGTGTTCACTAAGTCCTATGATGGCATTCCTCTTTCGGAAATAAGCATTGGTAGTGCTCTAAGAAAAAATAACAAATATACAATGAAACTTATGTAATTGCAATTGATTGTACCGATTTGTGAGTAAATGAAATAAGAAAATGATAATTATATAATTTATTATGTACCCTTTATTGACCCTATCACCTTAAACATAATAACAAAACATTGTAAAATACATTGTTAAATGTTTTTTATAACCTATTAACTTTAGGGTTTAGGTTCTACTTTCTACATTCCTCTTTCATCGATAAAAAAGAATATTTCTAGATAAATTGTTTAACTAATAACATAAGAGTAAAAAACGTATAATAACAATTAATATTAATACCATTTGCCCTACTTGCTCTTGCCACCCAATTAACAAACTTAATACGCTCTTGGACTTCTGTTTATACTGGGCCTGTAAGTTATGAAATTCTTCGTTAAAATTCCTACTTGCTTCTTGTTCCAACTTTGCTCCTTCAACACTTAGTGACATTAACCTGGAGTTCGTAGGGATGTCGCAAAACTAAGACATTTTCGTTTATAAAAAGTCGTTTGTAGAAAATAATTGAGGGTAAAACCAAAAATAATTAAAAAAGAAGGTTTAACTGAAATTTATATAACACATATTTCTAAACATATGTCAATAATTTAAACATTGAACCCATATGAATAATGATAAGGAAAGATACCATCAACATTGTTCCGATAATGAAGCATTAATGACTATTACAATTAGCAGTCCCACAAGTACCGTATTTCTCCTTCGATCAGTACGTGGTTATAATTACTATAACAACCATGATAAGGTCAGTATATAAATTAAATATACAGTATGTACGAACTGATCCGCTGCAAGCATATAATGAGAATAATGAGATAGCTAATTTAACTTTTGCTATGTAAGGAATAAAGAGAACATACGAAATAGTCACGCCCGCTATCCCCGCTATTCGCTAGTGGACGAAGCGAAGCGAATTGACGAATTCTAATATCGGCCGGCAACCGATAAACAAGTTTCTGTTCTTTACTATCTTATAGTATTGATTGAGATTCTAATTCTAACGCTTGCAGCGGAAGAATTCGTACACTCTGTATAATATCCAAAATTTGTGTAGGTGATTTGTATTAGTTGAAATTATTGTGAATATTTTTTTCTGCGCCACTTCTAAAGTATTTAGATCAGCACAGATAAGTATATAAATTAAAGTGTTTAATGTTTATTATTGCTGTCAATAAACTAATATTCCAAAAGCATTTCATCTGTTGTAAGCGTTTAGATACTGTAGGGTAAACGTTTCAAGCAATATTTAACATATTATTCCTTTCAGGTTCTTCTTATTTTTATCCGTTTTCTCGGCAACAACTATCGCTATTGATAAACATCTTTTCAAGAACTGCTCGAGAGTGGAGTTTTGTTCGTAAGTAAATAAATAGATATGTGTATTTGATTATCTGGTACCTACATATTTTATATTAAGATTAATAACAACATACTTAGAGATAATATAATAAATTCATAATGAATACACTGAATGTCCCAAAAATTATGCACTGATTTTTTTTCCAGTAAATATCGTAACTTTGAGCCAAATGAAAAGGACAAGTATTCTGCTGATCTGAAATCCTTGACTATAGATGACAAAACGAACGTTGTAAAAGTTCCTCTTAAAAACGACAATGGCGATACGCTAAATTTACTTATAACTCTATTGGAAGGAAATAAAGTAAGAACTCAAATTCAAGAACCTTCCACGACCAGGTTCGATTTAAGCGATATTATTCTGGTGGAAGATCTCAAATCTCTACCGTAAGTATAACACAAATAAACCACTAGTTTCTTCTTCTCGAGAACTATTTTTACCCTTACTTTTAGGGTAAAAAAATCTGCCACAGGTTCAAATAATGTACACATTCAACCTACAAATACCAGTAACCATCAACGCGTTTACATTGAAGGAGGACCTCCATTTGTTATTACCTTTACGAGCGAGAAAGAAAAACGAGTGGTCTTAGATGGAAACAATTTCGTAATGGAACACGTAAGTTTTTCTATCAAAAATGAGATGATCGTAAAAAAATCATCTAAGAAAGTTCCTTCTGATTTATTCATTCTCACTTTTAGACAAACAAAAGTCAAGTATTTACGTTTAAAGTAAGCTTTCCTCAAGCAGACCGGTTGTATGGTTTGCACGATCATGCTCACCCGATGAATCTGGGTACTACTAACAATGGTAGTGCTAACACCATGGATCCGTTTAGACTAAGAAATTCCGATTCGTGGGGATATGAAGCTAATTCAACGATGGCTATATATGGGTCTCGACCAGTTGTAGTAGGCTACAAGTAAGTCTTTGGTTTGTAAAATAAGTAGTAAATCAATTAGCAATGATACTTAGGCCCAACAAAACATCTGGGATTTTCCTTCTCAACGCGGCAGAGCAATGGATTGATGTCGCGTCTGATGTAGAAAGCCCCTATGCGTATTTTATGGTAGAAAAAGGAACTTTTGATTTGTTCACATTATTAGGTCCCACGCCTAAAGATTTTGTACGACAGTTCACAGCTTTAACAGGTCGAGCTCATTTACCTCAAGTGAGTAAAATCAAATTCCTCAAAAATTTCTTCATTAATCATTTTTTAATAATTTAGATCTGGGCTTTGGGCTACCACCAGTGCAGATTTTCATACCAATCAGAAGATGACGTTAAAACCGTTGTGGCTCTTATGGGCCAAAATGACTTTCCATTTGACGCTATTTACTTAGACGGCGATCACACCGACGACTACAGATGGTTTCATTGGAATCACTCTACTTTTTCGGATCCCACAGAAATGTTCAATAATATTTCAGCTGCAGGCAGGGTGGCTGTATCAATTTCAGATCCACACATTAAAGTTGAAGACACTTACGATGTATACATAGGAGCTAAAGATAAATACTTTACGAAATGGGCGGACGGTTCCAATTATGAAGGTGATATTTTTAATTCTTTTTTTCTATAAATTTTATCTGTGTATGTTTTGGATAACTATAGGTTATAGTTGGCCTGGAAAATCCAGCTGGATTGATTACATGAATCCAGAGGCATCTGATTATTACGCAAGTTGGTACTCATACGAAAAATTCAATGGAACCACACCTACATTAGCAGGAATTTGGAACGACATGAACGAGCCATCAGTTTCCGAGGACAATAACGAAAATACCATGCCTTGGGATGTTTTGCAAATGGGAAATGTAACACACGGAGAAATTCACAACATATACGGCTTCACACATGTAATGAAAATGTTAAAATATTTTCAAACACTCGATTTATTAACGTAATAAATTACAGGTTAGATCTACACATAAAGGTTTGATGGATAGGGACAATGGTTTGAAGCGACCATTCATTCTGACTCGTTCCCATTTCGCTGGTTCTCAACGATTCGCTGCCATGTGGACGGGAGACAATACCGCCAGCTGGGAGCATTTCGCTGTCACCTACTCCGAATGCATGAACGCAAATATGATGGGAATGGTGTTCTGCGGCGCTGATATTGGAGGCTTTATTGGTGATCCATCGGACGAGCTACTACAAAGATGGTACCAGGTAAAACTAGAACTTCGTCTGTAGTAATTCATCTACAAGTGAATCTTAATGTAGGGAGCGATGTGGTTGCCTTTCTTCAGGGGCCATTCGAGCAGAGAATCAAGAAGACGCGAGCCTTACTTATTCTCACAGGAAGTACAAGCTGTGTTAAGAAAAGCCCTAAAAACCAGATACCAGCATATACCTTCATTCTACACTTTGTTCTACGAGCACACGAGAACTGGTGATCCAATTATTCGACCACTGTATTACGATTATCCAGAGGTATACGATGTCGATACTCAACTTTTAGTAGGTGAGATTATTATGATTATGTATATTAGTATTATGATTTCTTTATTTTGATCTCCGGTACATACATACATATATTTACTAATTGTATGTTTTTTTGTTATATTCAGGAACGGATATAATGGGTGTTGCTATTACCAAACCCGGTGTAAATCAAACGGAAGTAGTTTTGCCAGGAGCCAACCAATGGTGGTACCGAGCTGATGGTGATATTTTTGTTCCACTTCTTGGTGGAGGAAAGTTGACCGTAGATGTTGATATTAATTCTGTAAGTACCATCTAGTACGATTTAGCAAAAGTTGAAATCATATTTCCTAATAGTTCAACATAGTTCAACCCTCGTTCATTGAAATCTGCATTCAGAATTCAGATTAACTTTCAATTTTAGCATTTAATTTAACATTTTAAATCTGTTTCAGTCTCCATTCTTCTACCGAGCTGGAAGTATAATTTTCAGGAAGGATAGACCCCGAGACACAGCAGTAGCTGCAATAAACGATTCTTACACAGTCTACGTAAACTGTGACCAGGTAAGTTTAATTCTTCTATTCTACTCTACTTTTAAATGATAACAAACCGATGATTTATTGTAGAGTAAAAATGCTGCAGGAAGACTATACATAGACGATTACGTTAGTTTCGACTACGCTAATAAGGATAACTATTTATACATTAATGCTACATACGACAACATTGAAAAGACTTTAACTTTGGAGTAAGACTAGTATTTAAAAAAATATTAATATTATAAATTAATTTTAAAATTTTTAGATCAATTGATGGTGACAACACTGGATTAGATGCAGTATTCGAACAAGTTGTTATAAACAGAGTTAACTTTACAGAAGGTATGTAATTGTATCAATATTTAAAACGCAAATCATCTCTACACATAATTAGAGAATAATAAATTATTTTGCAATTTTTTTAGGTGCTTACAAAACCAAACAGGATGTGTTTACTAAGTCCTATGATGGCACTCCTCTTTCGGAAATAAGCATTGGTAGTGCTCTAAGAACAAATAACAAATTTACGATGAAACTTTTGTAATTGAAATTAACTTTGTCGATTTATGAGTAGATGTAATAAAAGAATGATATCAATTATAAAAAAAATGTAATCTCCTTAAAGTTCCACCTCTATCGTAACAAAAAACTCCCTAAAACACACTTATTTTATATTTTATTTAACCGAATAACTTTAGGTTGTACTTTCTATAGATCCCTCTATCAT